TGTAACGTATTGTTACATTAAAAAGAACCTTTAAAACCCTTTGATAATATTTTATATATATATATATATATTTTTTTTTTTTTTTTGAGACAGGGTCTCCACTATATAGCTCAGGCTGGTCTTGAACTTGTAATTCTCCTGCGTCAGCCTTCCGAGTGCTGTGATTACAGGAGTGAACCACCATACGTGGCTATACTTTGTATTTTGAACGCTAATTCGCTGAGAAAAGCAAAGTAGCAAACCTTCTGTGGTGGCAAATCTTTATACTTTTCCCCTTCAACATAAAAACACACGATTTTTTTTTTTTTTTTTAAAAAAAGGACGGATTTTTTCTATCAGCTTCAGTTTCTTTCTCCTTCATACCCCTGCTAACTGTTCCCTGTGCTGAGGATGGAAGGAAGGGCCTTGTACATGCTAGGCAACCCTCTACTATTGCATCACACTTCCAGCCCTCGCATTCTTGCTAATTTTTGATTGGCTTGGACTGCTTTGAAAAATACAAGGCAAGGATTTGTATGAAGGAGATATTAAGATAACAAAAAAAAGTTTTTAAAGGGGAGCAAGCTTCTAAGTTATCCCTTTCTGCTTCTGCATTATTCTGTTTAGATTTTTGTAGTTTTCATCCCCCAAGTAAATTTTATGGTTTTCTAATTTTTTAAAATCCATGGTTTTCGTTACTGCCGAAGATTCTGAATGGCTAGCCCCAAACTTGCCATTTTATCAGATATATCTTCAGGTGACAAGTGACCTAAATAGCATGCACTCCCCTGAGATCGGCCAACTTAGCTTAGGAAGCAGAAGAGTGTGCGTTGAAGATGTCCCCGTAGCATGTCCTGTGTACCTGATGTGGTGAGTAATTTCTGGGGTGTGGAAGGGAGCTGCTTTCTGTATCTTACTTAGTGTTAAGGACAGTAGAGGCATGTTAAAGAAAGCGCTATCAAACTCCATCCCTTTGACTTCCACTTCTAGACAAGGCAGAATAACAGGAACTGAGTTTACCCTTCTGCCTTAACTAAAAACCAAGAAAACCACACGAAGTGACTCTTTCCAGACTTCATTAACTTACTTTTTTCTTCTTGCTGAGCCAAACTACCAGACACCCGAAGTTTTTTGTTTTTCTTTTTTTTTCTTTTTGAGACACTCAGGCTGGCCTTGAGCTTACTTTGTAGCCCAGGCTGGTCTCGAACTCACACTGATCCTCCTGCCTCAGCCTCCTGAGTGCTGGGAAATAGGGCAAAGGGGATACTGGGGAAACACTAGGATATAAAAATGAGGAAAAAGATACTATGGAGAGGAAAAAGATTTAAATGTAGGTTCTCTTTTTCATTATTTCATAAAGATTCCCTGAGATACTTTCTTAAAGAGTTCTAATAAAATAAAGTACAGTCTCTTCAAGTTCCTCGTTGTATGCTAGTTGGCCTCCGAGATTACGGATCAAAGATAACTGTGTATTATCCTTTTGAGTTTCAAGATAAAAATGGGAAAATAGAAGGTAGAACAGGAGAAAAACCACTAAAAATGAAGATATCCAACTTGCTTGCTTTTGAAGGCTGCAGGTCCCAAACTAAATTTTTTTCATACAGAAAACAGAAAAATCCCACTATTGAGGTGTGCTCAACACTTCTAGTGACATATGAGCACAATCCCCAGCCAGCTTGTAACTGAAAAGGTGAGGTGATAGTAAAAATAATTCAAATTCCACTTTTCCACACAAAGAGCCTCTGTAAGAAAACAAGGTTGGGGCTGGGGATTTAGCTCACTGGTACAGCGCTTGCCTGGCAAGGGCGAGGTCGTGAGTTCAATTCCCAGTACCGGTAAAACAACAACAACAACAAAAAAGAAAACAAGGTTGTTGAGACAGTTTTCAACACAAAGGTTACTTGTGTCCTTATAGGAATCTTCTATTAGCAATAATCACGCCTCAGATAAACCTCTTTGGCTATGACACTGCCACTGTGCAAAGCTACACAGGAAACTTCTCAAGACCTCAAAACAGAGTGAAAGCTATTACCGTCCACTCAGTATCTAAAACATAATATTGTTGAGATTAAGACTTGTGCCGCAGAGTTTAAGATATACCTCCCAACCAAGATTTACTATACTTGTTTGTATGTTCATACACTGTTTCGTATGAAACTAAGAGTGACAAATACACACTATGACTTTCCTTCAAATCTGCAAAACATTACTGAGCTATCGTCCCTTATGGACAGAGTAAGAGGGGGCTGGTCACTGTAGGCCAGTGTTCTGATATTCACTAGATCACCTGGAAGGCTTAACAAACAAGGGTGTTCACGCTGAAGGTAGGGCCCGGACTAATTAAGTAAGAAAATGCAGGCAAGATAAATGGTATGGTACGTTCTGAGAGCTCACATACTGCCAAGATTGAGAATCACTTGGTAGGTGCTATGCTAATAAGGTGGGGTGCTAGAAACCAGGAAATAAGAGTTCAGGACTTTGTGTTAAATTCTTAGGTTACTCTTCTCTATGTTTTATAATCTCTACATGTATAATAAAAATAACCCCTCTCCCCCGATTTTTTGAGACTGGGTCTTGCTTTAGTTCAGGCTGGCCTTGATCTCGTGGCGATCCTTTTGCTTCAGCCTCCTGAGTGCTGGGATCACAGTGCTTTTTATCACTTTCAAGAAGATAATGTCAAGGTACATGAGGTTATAAAAATGTTAGAATTCTGGGCAAGAAAAACACTTGAAAGAGAGGTTTTCTGTAGAAAACTTTCGGTAGAAAAGTATCATTTTCATGGGAATAAAACTGAAGGTAAAGAATATGATGACCAGGCAGGAAGGAGTCTAATAATAATGCCAGGATTACATACCATGTCTAGGCATCAATGTTGGTCCTTACAACATTCAAATGAGCTCTTCCTTATATTAATCTTGAATTATTTTGTTTCCTATGCATAAATCTAGCTTTCGATAAAAATTATAGTTACCTAAGGACAAGATTATATCCTATTTTTCATATATAAACACACGTATTTAAATACATAAATTTTTGCTGGATTGACTCTTTAGCATTAGCACTCTTTGGCATTAGGAAGAAAGGCAAACTTCTGTGTTGCTGGGCGTGGTGGCACAAGCCTGTAATCCTAGCACTTGGGAGGCTGAGAAGTTTCAGTTGTGCAAGATGATTAATCTCTATCTGCTCAACATTGTGGCTATAGTTAACAATACCGTATCATAAGTTTTTGTTAAAAGAATAAATGTCATTAAGTGTTCTTACCACACTTGTTTTTTGGAGACAGGGTCTCACTATGCAGTTCAGGCTGGCCTTGAACACATATTGTAGAATTTCCTTAATTGTTAGGCCTAAATAATGTCCCACTGTATGTACACAAGTTTTCTTTATCCATTCATCCATGGATGAACACTTAAATTATTTTCACACCTTGCGTATTATCAGTAATGAACATGGAGTGCAACTGTCTCTTAGATTCTGATTTTAATTCTTTGGGATAATATTCAAAGATATTTGGGGTTTACGGATCATACAGTAGCTCCGCTTTTAATTTGGGGGGATCCTCTATACTTTCCCCCATATTCACTGGACCAATTTACATTCCCAATAGTAGTGTGCAAGGGTTCTTTCTTCTCTACATCCTCACTAACATTTGATATCTTTCATTGTTTTCATAGTAGCCATTTTAATCAGTGTAAGTTGGTTTTGCTTTGTATTTCTCTGATTATTATTGATATTGATTAAGAATTTTTTCATATACCTATTGACAATCTATAAATCTTCTCTGGAGAAATTTCTACTTAAATCTTTTACTCATTTAGAAAATTGGGGGCTTAGGGATATAGCTCAGTGGCATAAGCACCTGCCTGGCAAGCGCAAGGTCCTGAGTTCGATTCCCAGTACACCACCCCCCTCCTCCCGCAAAGAGAAAACCCCCCAAAACCAAAACAAACAAACAAACAAAAACAAAAAACTGTTACTGGCTGGGTGTGGTGGCGCATGCCTGTAATCCCAGCACTCAGGAAGCCAAGAAAGGAGGAATTTGAGGCCATCCTGGGCTACATACTGAGACCCTGTCTCAAAAAAAAAAAAAAAAAAAGCCTAGGCCTCCTCAGTCATTCAGTTTAATATTCACTGATACAGAAATTTGTGAATTTCTCTGCTGGTGGTGGGTAGTCCTGACAAGAAGTAAAATCAGAACAGTCTCCCATCTTCTGAGGCATATTTCAATGGAAAAAGGTTCATCAATCCCTTCTTCAGCCCTAAATCCCACTTACAACCACAACTAGTGGACTACACCTCCTATGAGTGACTGCAACTTAGGGCCTCACTCTAAAAACGAGCTCAGCTGCCCCCTCTGGTAACCTCACAGGACGCTTATGACAGTAAATGAAAAGTCTTGCAATACATTCTGAAAAATGGATTAAAGAGACCTGACTCAAGGGCAGATTACTATTTTTAACACGTTAGGTTTGTCAGAGAAGCTTCTGCTCTTCCAAGTTTAAGCTACTGATCGAATACTTTAAAACCTGCTTTAATACAGACGTGCTACGGTTTACTTCTCCATAGGCCTCGCTCCCCTTAAGGATGAAAACTGAGAACCCCAGAGCCTGGAAATTCCCAGCAAGATACTTCACTGTTAGGTTACACACAGGAACTATGATCTCCCCAAACTCCTACAGAAGCTTCAGATATTAAATAAATACTCTAAAGATTGAGGTCTATGAAGAATTAGTACTCCACCTGGGGAATAAAAGGAGGCTTGCCTATTTTGTAGGTAAAGGGGAGACCTGACTTTAGTTTACATATGGAGTGTTTGGCTTATATGCATTGTGTTAAAAAATATTACAACAAGACTGTTACACTATTTTCTCTTCTACACTGGAAAATGATTTCAGTGATTTATCAACTTGAGCCATTAGTCAACTTTGAAACTAGCAAGAGATCGTAATTTAAACTAGCAATAAACCGTAATCCTAGTAGATGACAAGAAGCTGCGGATTAGGTTTCTTGGTCATACTCACCTTAAATTGTTCTGTTGGCCAGGTGAAATGACACTGTAGTACACTGGCATTCCTGCTGTGGGCACAGATCCTTGGTTAGACTGACTAGAGAACACAACAGGCTGTTGGTAAGTCTGATGGGCTACTCCTTGAGAACCTTGAGGCAGTGAAACCTAAAAGTTGAAAGACAATTTAAAGACGTCTAAACCTTGAAGATGTTCATGTCTCCAGCCTCATAAACTTTTTATTTTTATTTATTTTTTTATTTTTTATTTTTTGGTTTTTCTCCGGTACCGGGAACCGAACTCACGACCTTGCGCTTGCCAGGCAGGCGCTTTTGCCTCTGAACTAAATCCCCAGCCCCCAGCCTCATAAACTTTTTAAGCATGAGCAGAAAGGAAAAGGTAACACTGTCTTTTCCTGGTAAGTCTGCCTCAGCACCGCTACCACGTTCCGTTTCCCTTAGTCAGTTACTGCTTTTGGCCAGCACTTCTCAATTATACAGTAGCCCAGATGCCTTAGATCTTGAAAACCGTGACTTATGTCCCTAAGGGAATCATTTTACAATAGAAAATTTACACACAAGGACGACCACCTGACATGGGAAGAGACACCGTTCACGTCAGGCAGAGCCAAGCAAGACTCTCGGAGGTGCACTGGCAAAGACAGCCAGCGAGGACTCTGCAGAGTCGGACAGATAAGGTACCAGCCCCACCACTTTATTTCTGTGTGACGCTGGGCACAGGACTTAAGCACTCGGAGGTCCCTTGGCCCCTCATCTGAGAAACTGGAAACACCGCCTCCAGCACAGAGAGGAGCACCGTGTCTGTTGTGGGACAGCGCATCCGGTGGGTCTGGTACAGGGGGAACTGAGTGAAAGTCAATCTTTCAATTCTCTTATCTATAGGAAAGCAATGGACATAATGGATCCTTCAGTTCTCAAGTTTCTAAATGGAAATAACATAAAGACTTTCTAATTTAAAGATATATATAATATTACAGTTGGATTATGGGGATTTTTATTAAGTTAAGCCAGTACAAAAAGCTACAATGATGATGTTGTCAGTAAAGATGACAATGAGGGTTAACATCACAGAATACTTTCTGCCATGTATCTGGTTCTATTCTAAGCGCTTTAGGTACATTATCTCATTAAGGTGTCCTAACCTATGAAGGTATTTTTATCATCTGTTTTACAGATAGATAAACTGGGATTAAGTAATTTGCCCAGGGTTGTACAGCTAGTAGAGAAAGCAGGATTCCAACCCATGCTCTTTGGTTTCAGAGCATCAGCTCTTTAACCACATCACTGTTCTCTCTCTTTAGTTGTGATTTAAAAGTTAATGATTAATTTTTGCATGCTGGGAAGCTGAGGCAGGAATATGGCCAATATGAGCCTAATCTGGGCAACTTATCCATTCAAAGAGACTCTGTCACAAACTGGGAAAAAAAAGGCTTGGAGGCTTGGAATACAGCTCAGTGTGAGGGTGCTTGGTTCACAGTCCCCAGTACTGCAAAAACAAACCAATTAACTTCAGTCTTGCTTATATAACATGTTCTGAAATGCAACTAGTCCTCAAAATACACAGTAATCTCTTAATTACTTTTCCTTTGGTTCATGATTGTAACAGAAATATACAGGTCTGATTTATCTAACTTTGTGTAATATAACATATTTCAGTTTTTTTGGTCTACAGAAGCAGTATAATATTATGAGATGATTAACTGTATAAATATATATGAAAGGCATACCTGAGAAAAATGAAACAGACTAATCTAGATGCTTTAAGCTACTGGAATAAATTTTTAACTAGGTACAGAAAAAAAAAGCAAAGCACCAAAAGAGAGAATGTGCACCCACAGAAGACATCAATAAGGACAGATGACTTCTCTGGCTTATTTTTAGAGGACAGTTTATCACTCCCACTTGTCTATCAAATGCAGTAGGGAGAATACTTAAGCAGGCTCCCATTGGCTGCTGTCCAGAAACTTATCACTCATTCAGTATGAGGATTGCATGAGATAAATATAAAAATACTTGTACAAGTTGTAAAAAAGCAAGCTACAGGAATTATAGCAACTGTCTTAGCTCTGGAATATTTTCAATATCTAGTTCCATAAAAAAAAAAAACAAAACTAGCAACAAAACCATATTTAATGAAAAAAATGACATTTTTCTCACTAGTCTGTGAGGCCTAAAGGCTAAGGGCAGATCTTACTTATCTTAATCTCTAACATCTAGTATAGCACCTGGGCATCCAACACATGCTCAGTACTAGGGTCCTATTTCGCTAGATAAAAGAAAGAAGAACTGATACAACCTATAAACTGAAAATTTTATGCTAAGTGAAAGAAGCTGGTTATCAAAAACTACATACTGTATGAGTACATTCAAATAGGATGTCCATATAAAGCAGAAAGTGTATTAACTGTCTATAGCAGGGACAAAGAAAACAAAACAAAAAACCAGGGTCCTTGAGAAAGCAGTGTTTTTTTTTTTTTTGAGATAGGGTCTTGCTATATAGTACAGGCTGGCCTTGAACTCGCTTATGTAGCTCAGGCTGGCCTCGAACTCACAGTGATCCTCCTGCCTCAGCCTCCCATGTGCTGGGATTACAGGCATGTGCCACCATGCCCTGCCTCGAAAGCAGCGTTTTGACTTGGTGCTTGATCGTGTCTAATGTCCATCTATAGGGAAAGCAAGGAAAGGGGAGCTCATGTGCCTAGGCTCAAGCACTGAGGATAAGGAATACAAAGCATGGGGAATGTGAGAAAAAAGGAAGATGCCAAACCTAGTTTCATGATGTATCTCTTTCTCACAGTTGCTTTTGATTATCAAGAGGCTTCAAAACTAGACACAGTGTTCAATAACCGTTGAAAATTCCACATTTCTTACTTTAATTTTCTGGAATTACATAGAATATGTTTATATATTTGCTTCTATCTCAGAATATCTTAATTATTATTTTTTTGTTTGTTTTTTGAGACAGGGTCTTGCTCTGCAGTTCAGTCTGGCACAGGACTCACTTTGCAGCCCAGGCTGGTCTCGAACTTGCAGCGACCCTGCTCCTCAGCCTTCCGAGTGCTGGGATCACAGGCGTGCACCACCATGCCTGGCCTATCTTAATTAATTTATGTCCACACTTTTCCTTTAAGAGCTAACTAGAAGCCAGGTGTGGTGGCGCACGCTTGTAATCCCAGCACTTTGGGAGGCTGAGGCAGGAGGATCATGAGTTTGAGCCTAGCCTAGGCTACAAAGTGAGCTCAAGGTCAGCCTGAACTCCATAGGGAGACCCTGTCTCAAAAAGACAAAAAAACCCAAACAAACAAACAAACCAAAAACCCATCATAAAGTTAGCCATGCGTGTGGCACACATCTCTAATGCCAGCAATTTGGGAGGCTCTTGCAGGAAGGACACAAATTCAAGCCTAGCCTGGGCAACTTGGCAACTGGGTGAGACTGTGTCTCAAAAGAAAAAATAAAAATGTGCTGTGGATACAGCTCACTGTGAGGGCCCTGTATTCAAGTTCTAATATTGAAAAAACAAAAGCAAAACAAACAAACAAACCAAAAAATCCCCAAACTCCTCAACAGAACACAACAAAAACCTCATGAGGCTAATACAACAAGACTACATACAAGTTATTCCCTAAAGATGAAAGATGGTAAGATCACTTTCCTGATGGGAAACAGTGTACTAGACACATGCTTACTTAAGGAACAATAATAAGTATTTCTGTTTTAGAGCCGTAAATTACAATCCATGACATTTTAAATACATAACATCATCCATTTGGGGATTGAGGAAAAAAAATCAGTCCTAGTATGACAAGCTGCACATATTTACCTAGTTTAAAAGCAAATTTATAGTTTATTCTATACATATTTCACCACTTTAAATAACTGCCCTTCATTTCCATTTTCCCTTCTATATCGTTCACCCCAGAAAGAGATTTTGTGAAAAATTGAAGAATAGAGTAAGATACCTTCTTGTGTACCCATACAGTTAAAAGTGTGGTGCCAAGAAAGATTTACTTGGCAGTATCAACGTGGTTAAGATATTCTAAATAATAATAAAGCAAATGAATAAAGCAGTAGAATGAGGATAAAACAAAGCCATTAAAACTAACCAAATTCTTTAGACTATAAAATTGTATGTACAGGAACACTTCCCTTGTATTAAAAAAAAACAGAGAAACTGTATTGTAGCTAAACACTTGATTTATCCAAATTTGTCTCTACCTAAAGCAGGGTAAAAAAATACCACACCTGATATGATGGCACTGTAGGATAGGGGATGACCACTCCTTGAATCTGATTTCCAATGCTGTTGGGTTGGCCTCCGACTAGGCTCTGACTCTGGGGCTGCTGAACTCCAACTATTCCTTGGTAGTTTTGCTGCTGGTTGGCCATAACTTGATAACCTGTAATGGAAAAGTAAGTTAAATCTTGCTTTGAGTTTGATTTTATTTGTTTTAATAGGCTGTTTTTGTATTTTGAGCAAGTACTTTGGTGTCCTAAAATGACAGAATTTTACTTGAAGAGGCAAATATTCAAGTTCTTTTTTATGAGATACCATTTAAAAAGCTTAGTATAAAGTCAGTTTCTTTTTTTTTATTTTTGAGGCAGGATCTTGGTATCTAGTTCAGGCTGGCCTGGACTCACCATGTAGTCCAGGCTGGCCTCAAATTCTTGATGATCCTCCTGCCTCAGTTTCCCCAGGGCTGGGATTACAGGTACGTGCCACCATGCCTGACTTTTCTTTCTTAAACTCTGTATAGTACAGAGATTTCCTCTTTGGTTGAGGCATTTTCAGGGTCAGAGCATTGGTAAGTACAAGACTATCACTGCTCAGCTTGTTGTATGTGTGTGTGTGTGTATGTGTGTATGTATGTGTGTATGTATGTGTGTGTGTATGTGTGTATGTGTGTGTGTATGTATGTATGTATGTATGTGTGTATGTATGTATGTATGTATGTATGTGTGTATGTATGTATGTATGTATGCATGTATGTCTTTTTGAGACAGGGTCTCACTATGATGTTCAGGCTGGCCTTGAGCTCACTTTGTAGCCCAGGCTGGTCTCGAACTCACATCGATCCTCCTGCCTCAGCCTCCTGAGTGTTGGGATTACAGGCGTGTGCATCCACGCCTGGCTCAGCTTGTTTTAGTGTTTTATGACAGCTAGTTTCGGGGATCAGGACTGCCTAGAGAATTTGTAGGGCCAAGGACAAAAGGAAAATTTGTAGAAGCCCTTACTAAAAACATTAAGAACTTCAGGTTAGTAAAAGCAGAACTTTAAAGCATGCACATGGCACTCCCCACCTATAGAGGATGTAGGTCTGCTAACAACCCCCAAAATGTGTTGTGATAACTACTTTTTCAGAATAGTTACATCTGTAAAGAAGTCACTCTCAGATATGAATTTTTATATTGGGAATGTGTCAAAGCACAATGCTTTCAGTAATGAGTATCAATGGTATTTTTCCTAATCCTAAGAGAATTCTTTCATGTACACCAATTAGCTCCAGATACATGTAAATTACTAAATGCTACAGCAAGTTCATTTTTAAAAAAAGAAACATAAAAAAACCACTTATTTAACTACAGGTACTGAAAAGTTTTTACAAAGATGAACTGAACTGTAGCACTGCCTATACAACATCGAACAAGTGCAGACCAATGAAATTACTTCCCTGATAACATCATAAATATAATATATATTTATAAATATATTCTGCTATTTTCATTTCCATCCTGAATATTTTGAGGATGGAAACAGACAACAGCATTACTGGACTTAGTTACTTAAAAGCCTTAATGATCCTACTCAAGGATTAAATAATTGAACACATCCAGAATTTACCTTCTTTAAGGATATGAATACAGAGTTTCTCTGGTAACTAAGAAACACATTAACATCAACAACAACAAAATACAAATCCAGTATATTGAGTTCTTTAACAGTGAAAGATTTTTGTAAAATGATGCTGTTTCTGTGGCAACACTGCTATACAGACACATTTCAAGTTACTTATCAATCTAACTCTGTATGAAAAAATGATATATCCCTAGCTCCTTATCTGCAAGAAAGCGATTGATAATATGTTATCTGCTACACCCTTCTCCCTGTGTATTTCCTGTACTACTTAAAGTTGGAGGTGGGTAAAGGAAGAAAGCAGAAGAAACTTCTTTCTCAGGTCTGAGTCTAACAGTTAACCCTGAAAATTCAACCCCATTTTCAGCTCATCAAACGACAAGTATTTTGCATTCACACACCAGATCCCAAACGCCAACAAGGTATACACATATTCCTATCCAGAGGAAATTAAAGGAAGAATGAAAATGGTATGTGAACACGAAACCTTGGGGGAACCCAACCTCACCCAAGCATATGCTGCAGTGTCAGAATCTGGGCCCAGCTGTTGATAGACTGGGAAACTAACAATAGAACTGGCTGAATTATACCCTCCCGATAAGCGAAGCAAAGTAAACTGTGGGTACATGGCAAAATTACTGTAAAATACTTTCACTTAATCACATTCCCCTAGGAAACAATAGATGTTTTGTGTGTGTGTGTGTGTGTGTGTGTGTGCGTGCGTGCATGCACGCGTGCTCTCTGTTGGGCATAGAACCCATTGCCTTGTCCATGCTAAGCATGTACTTTACCACGTAGACAACTTTCCCAGCCTATTACTCTTTTTTTTTTGTACTGGGAATCGAACTCAGGACCTTGTGCTTGCCAGGCGGGCGCTTGTGCCACTGAGCTATATCCCCGGCCCACTATTACTCTTGTATAGTTTATAAAAAAGGTTAAGGTCACAGGTTGTCTCAAAAAGGATACAAGCTGTCAAAAAAGAAATGAATTTGCATGCAAATGTGATTCTGATTTTTAAAAACTTATCTAATTTTGCCAATTTTTGAAGACTCATTGTAGAAGTATTATGTCTAAAATTTTCTCTTATGAAAATACAATGTGAAAAAAAAAAAGAAAATAAAATGTGGCAAGAAGGTTTTCAATAAACAGCTACAGAAACTATGTTACAGTGGTTTAGTGTAGGGTTATTTGGACACTATATCACAGAATTTACATCTGCATATTTCCAATGTTATTTTAGATTCCTTAAGGCAATCATCGAATGTCAATTAAATGCACAGTTACTGATTCCCCCTAACATATCCATACATGCACCATGCACATTTTGAAAATACAACATGAAATCTAAAACACCTAGCCCCTGAACCTGGTCATTAGTTATAGGTAGTAGTAAAAAACGGACAGGCTACTTGCCAGCTGGATTATATAAAGAGGAGCATGACATTGCCGCTATCTTTGAAATTAAGAGTCTTAGCTCTGGATTCCACAAAATGTTCAATGTAATTAGCAAATCTACACTGTGATTATATAATGACCCGGAGCTGAAGCTCCAATATTGCAAAATTGAAAAAACCAACCTACACTGACATTCTATCTCACTCCAGTCAGAATGGCTATCAGCAGGAGTATGAATAACAGGAAATGCTGGCAAGAACTCAGGCAAAAGGGAATCTTTCTATACTGTTGGTTGAAATGTAAATTTTTTTTCTTTTTTGGGTACTGGGAATTGAACTCAGGACCTTACGCTTGCCAGGCAGGTGCTGTGCCGCTGAGCTAAATCCCAGGCCCTTGAAAGGTAAATTCGCATAACCACCATAGGAATCAGTATGGAGGTTCTTCAAACTCAAAAGTAGAGCTACTAGCTATACAACTCCTTGGTATATTCCTAAAAGAATTAAAGTCACCATGCAATAGTGCTACCTGCATACCCATGCTTAGTGCAGCACAATTCACAATAGTAAAGCTGTGGAGACACCCTAGGTGCTTGTCGACAGATGAATGCATAAAAGAAAATATAGATACAATGTGGTAGTATTCAGCCATAAAATATGAAATCATGTAACTTGCAAGAAAACGGATGGAACTGGAGATCATCATGTAAAGCCAGACTCAGAAAGTCAAATATTGCATGTTTTCTCTCATATGTTGAATCTAAAAAATAAATAAATAAATAAATAAATGAGTAAAAAAATCACAGGAAAGTAGGGTGACTATCAGACAAGAGGAAGGGGGTGAAAGGAAGGGCAGAAGGGAGAAGGAAGTAATGGGGAGTGAAAACGATCAATATATGTCACAGGCATGAAGAAACATCAAAAGAAACCCCGTGCTCTGTGTAACTAACATGCACTGATATAATTTCAAAGAAACAACAAAAACTCTGCTGGTAACAAACTTTCTTCTTGCCAATTCTTCCCTCATACTTTGCCCATGCTTTGAAAAAAATGAAAATGACATACTTCATAGGAGTAAAAGAAGAAATTTTAACACTTGCCACTGCCCTTTTAAAAGAAAACAACCCACCTTAGCTATCACTCTGCTGTACATACATGCAGCTATCTATCTATCTATCTATCTATCTATCTATCTATCTATCTATCTATATCTGTCTGTCTGTCTGTCTTTTTGAGACAAAGTCTCACTATGCAGTTTAGGCTAGTCTTCAACTCACTTTGTAGCCCAGGATGGCCTTGAACTCCCAATGATCCTCCTGTCTTAGCCTCCCGAGTGCTGGAATTACAGGCATGCCCCACCACGCCTGGCTCAAAAATGTACATTTATACTTAGAGAAATAGTAGGAGAAAACATGGTAAGAGAATGGAACCAAAATAATGTAAGCTTTGACACAAAAACAGAAACTTACTAGGTGTTCTAAGTAAGAATGACCAGTTTTGCGCTGCTCGTATTTAGTAAACGGGTTCTGACACCAAAGTTGTAAGGTAACACTAGCTTATACAATTAAACACATTTCATCATCTTTTCTTTAAAATGATTCCTTCAATACTAATCGCTCAGTCTGGAATTCATGAACCACTCATTAAGCCTTTCCTAGACAACTGCGCAGGAGCTGAATCATAGATGTTGTGTAATTAACTTTAAAGTACTGTATTTATTTTGTCTTTTTGAGACAGGGTCTCAATATGCAGTTCACGCTGACCTTGAGCTCACTTTGTAGCCCAGGCTGGTCTTGAACTCAAACTTGCAATGATCCTCCTGCCTCAGCTTCCTGAGTGCTGGGATTACAAGTGTGCACCACCACGCCCAGCAAAGTACTCTATTTATCTGATAAAGAACATGAAACTTTTAATTTATATTAAGGTGTAAAGTTTCAAAGTATTATTTTCTGAAAAAATATGGACCTTAAAAACATTTTTCAAAAAACCTTATTTGATCATAAAATAGATATTCAGACTATACAAAAAAAGTTACTGTAGAATAAAATCACTAGTAAAACAGTAACACAGACAATCACTATTTACATGTTGTATGTACAGCTGGCTTCATTTTCTATGCAGAGAAACATATGCAGAAAGAAACAAATATATTACT